GGGGTTGTCCAGCCTGGAGAAGAGAAGGCTTTGGGGAGACCTTATTGCAGCCTGTCAGCACTTAAAGGGGGCTTATAAAAAAGATGGCGGCAAACTTTTTAGCAGGGCCTGTTGCGACAGGACAAGGGGCAATGGCTTTAAACTAAAGGGGGGTAGATATAGACTAGATATAAGGAAGAAATTTTTTACGCTGAGGGTGGTGAAACACTGGCCCAGGTTGCCCAGAGAGGTGGTGGATGCCCCATCCCTGGAAACATTCAAGGTCAGGTTGGACGGGGCTCTGAACAACCTGATCTAGTTGAAGATGTCCCTGCCCACAGCAGGGGGGTTGGGCTAGATGACCTTTAGAGGTCTCTTCCAACCCAAACTATTCTATGATTCTATGATTCTAAATCATGCTTCATCAGCCTGATAGCCTTCTATGATGAGAAGACTGGCTTGGTGGATGAGGGGAGAGCAGTGGATGCTGTTTATCTTGTCTTTAGTAATGCTTTTGACACCCAAAACATCCTCAGAGACAAACTCACATTGTATGGCCTAGATAAATGGACTGGCTCAATTGTTGGGCTCCAAGAGCTGTGATTAGTGGCACAAAGTCCAGTTGGAGCTTGTCACTAGTAACATACACCAGCAGATGATGCTGATACCAACACTAACATCTTCATTAATGACCTAGATAATGGGATAAGAGGGCATCCTCAGTAATTTGCAGATGATACAAAACTGAAAGGAGTGGTTGCTACGCTAGATGGTTATGCTGCCATTCAGAGTCACCTTGACAAGCTGGAGAAATAGGCAAACAGAAACCTCATGAAGTACAACAAAAGGAAATGCAAAGTCCTACACTTGGGGTAGGAATAAACCCATGTACTAGTACAGGCTGGAAACTGACTGGCTAGAAAACAGCTTTGCAAAAAAGGCTCTGGTGGTCTTCATGCACATCAAGTTGAACAAGAGCCACCAATGTACCCTGTTGGTAAAGAATGCCAACAACATCCTTGGCTGCCTGAGGAAAAGTATCTCCAGCAGGTTGAGGGAGGTAATTATTCCCTTCTAATTAGCGTTGTGAGACTGAACCTTGAGTCTTGTGTCCAGTTCTGGGCTTCTAAATACAAGAAAGATGTGAGCATACTGGAGAGAGTTCAGTGTAGGGCCACCGAGATGTTTTATGGACTGGAGTGTCTGTCATATGAGGAAATGACAGCTGGCATTGTTCAACTGGAGAAGGCAGTTAGGGGAGATTTTATAATGTGTGTAAATTACCTGATAGGTGGAGAGTGAAAAAGACAGAGCAAGACTCCTAGTGAGTACCAGTGAAAGGACAAGAGAAATGGATGCAAATTGAAAGACAGAAAATTCCATTCAAATATATCAAAACTTTTCTACTGTGAGGGTGGTCAAACACTGGAAATAGAACACTGGAAGGCTGTGGAGTCTCCATGAGTGGAGATACTCAAAACCTGTCTGGACATGGTTCTGAGCAAACTGCTCTAGTTGACCTGGTTTTGAGCAGGGGGGTTTGGACTAGATAATCTCTGAGGGTCCCTTCCAACCTCAACGATTCAGTGTTTCTAACACATGCCACCAGTGAAGCATAATAGTTTTAACATTACGTACTTCTCTCAGTGTGTTTCTCCTCTTCTTTCTGGGCCTCTTCTCTTTCTTTATCCTCCTCACTCTCCTTTCTTCTCTCCTCCTCCACCTCTTCTACAAACAGAAGAAAAAACCCCATGTGTTACTTATGCTGACCTACAAAAGTCTCGTAAGAGTCCTATTTTGACTAGTGAACTTAGAATACTTATGAAAAACCACGTTAGGGAAGGTGAGAGAAATAAGTATGATGCAGAGCGAATGCAGAGATGAAAAAAAGTCAGAGGATACCTTCAGAGCAAAAATTTGAACTACCATACAACAGAGTAATATTCACTTCTGGATTTGCTCAGCTTTAAAATCAACAGAATGCCTCAAAGTTACCTCTGAAATGAAATTATGTATTTTTAATGTAGTTAAAGTTCTCAGTAAATTATTTTAGTTTATTTTTCACCTAGGAAAAAAAATATAAAATTTTCAGTAACAAAATACTAATATGTTTCTCATTTATTTACAATTGGCAAATTCACCCATAATCTTTATGGTAGAAAAGGCCTAGATTATTCTTTTCTTAACAAATATGAATTTTCATTCAAAGTTTCTTCCTAATACAAAGTATCACAATTTAAGACTAGTCCTTTAAAAACATACAGTTTAGGGAATTCTTAAATAAAGAAAAATCTGAAATAACACCCCCAAATGCACACAGGTTAAAATGAAAAATGCTAACACTTCCTGAAAACTTTTATTATACGTTCCATGAACTTCCATTATGTGTTTCATACAGGCTGTATTTGCTGCCTCCTGTGCTTGCCAGATACAACATAGAACTATAGCTTTTAATGTAATCTTAAAAGTAATCCAGAATATAACAGAACAAGTCAGCACTGTCAAGCACATCTTGATCTGTACACTTCTCCAATTTCCTATTTTCATTTTGTTATTACAGCAGTTTACTAGCTTTTTTTAGAGAAAGTTCTGGCTGCAAAGATACACTTGATGCTCTCTTAACACTAAATTTTACTTCTATTATGAAGAACATCTGAATGATTTAAAATAAGCCGCCTAATAAATCAGAAAAAGGAAGGAGTCAGAAGATCAAAAACTGAAATTATGAGATTTTTCATTTTGTTAATTTATGCAAGAAATAATACTCATACCACATAAATTCTTCAAAACCAATCTGATTTATTTTTAAGGTAATAAAATGGAATAGTGCCAATGCCACCTGCTTTAAGACTTATAGATAAGCTTCATGTATTTAATTGTTATCAATAAAATAGGACTCATTTACCTAAGAATCTAAAGGAGATTCATTAAGTTCAAGAGTACTTTTCCCACAATTTAAAGATTTTAATATTCAAGTGGAAGATATAAATATTTCATGGAAAGATACACATACCTAGAATGTCTGTAAAATATGTTACAAGTTTCAAAGCCGAGCTTTTTGAGTTCTATGTAGAGAACAAAGTAATTTCAGGGACGAGGAAGTCCCTTCCTTACAAACTTCCATCACACTGTGAACAAATTTAGCTCGTTTAACTAAAAAGTGGTTTAAACATGATGCCCAGCTAAACCTCTCTAGTTAAGAAGGTTTGAACCATAACACGGAGATAATTTTACAATTGGCTATCAGCTTATTTTTCACCGATAAGCTGCGATCTTGTTATCCTGATGCTAGACAGGCAGAAGCAATGAATACAACCCTATAATAAATTTTTTTTTTTTTAAATCATTAAGTTATCACTGTATTTATCACACAGTCATCTTAGTAAGTCACACTATTTGCTGTGGATCTGAACATAAAAGGCATTTGTTTTTTGGTTTTTTTTTTTTTTTTTTTTTTTTTTTACTAGGTGTGTGCCTGTCACTAAACAGTTGAAATAACTTTTAATAATTTCTACAGTTGCAAGCATTTAGATCTGCTTAGTAACTGACTGGATGCCTATTTGGACGTTGGTTCTGCCAAAATACACATATAAATGGAAATAAAAATAATGAGCAAGCCTAAGAGCATCTGAACAGTATTTGCAAGTTACTCTGGACTGCAGTCATACTCTATTTCATAATCTTGTAACTTCAACATTCTCCTTATAGATTAGCTAGAACTGATGTGCACAGACAGCAATCAGAAGAAAGTACAAAAGCACAGCCTTTCTCAGTAGTGAATCCTTGATCAAACTCTACCCAAAAGTTATTATAAAACAGGAATACAGATTCCCCCCCCCCCCCCCCCAAACTCTACCTGTAACATTATTTTTATTGTTTATGAAGAAATCAGATTCATGTATTTCCAAAGGAATCATCATGACCTAGACAAGCTGGAGAAATGGGATGACAAATGCTTTATGATGTTCAACAAGGACAAATGCAAAAGTTCTGCACCTGTGAAGGGAGAACCCTTGCAATAACACAGGCTAGGGTCCGCATGGTTGGGGAGCAGCTCTGCTTTGAGGACTCGCATAGACAGCAAGCAAAGCATGAGCCAACGGCGTGCCCTGGCAGCAAAGGTGGTCCACAGCATCCTGAGCTGCATTTACATGAACAGAGCCAGTATATAATAGGAAGTGGTTATTGCCCTTTACTTGGCACTCATTGTATCATCTCTCAGTAAGGAGTAAGAGACTAAGTGGCTGGGGAACATGACCTGTAAGACCCTGAGGGAGCTGGGCTTGTTCAGCGTGGAGAAGACAAAGCTTAATGGGGACTTAAAACCAGCTTTCCAATACCTGTAAGGTGGCTTTTGAGAAGATGGAGCCAGACTCATTGTAAAGGTGCATGGCAAAGGGTAAGAGACAACACACGTAAGCAGAAACAATCTCTTTTTTCTATGATATCCAGATATCATATCTAATCTATGATAGAAAGAAAAACATTTCCCACATGAAGAGAGTCATTGCAACAGGTTGCCCAGAGAGGTCATCCAGTCTTCCTCAGTGGAAGTTTTCAAGACTTAACTGGATAAAGTTCTGAGCTACCTTGTCTAATCTCACAGCTGACCCTGCTTTGAGCAGAAGACTGGACTAGAGACCGAGAGGTCCCTCCCAACCTGAACTACTGTATTATTTGGTCACAAGTCCTCCTGCCTATCACAAAATAATACATTAAAAAAAATTATCAAGTGATTCAAAGCACAATATTCTCCAGTTATTTATTACCACATTTTTAGTTGAAAAAATCCATAAAGGACTTAGACTACAACTGATGAATCCAACGTCCATTAATCAGTCCTCCAAAGTCTGTTGGACAGAAGTGTGCCTGATTTCTGGTTTGCAAAATCCAGTGGATCAAATGCAGCAGTTGTGTCTTTGCTATGTTAAAGAAATGTCTTTCCACCATATATTCAGCTCCCGTTTGCAGATACTATAGACCTCGTTAATCTTCTATTGGATGAACAAAACATGTTCTTTTAAGCTTTCCAGTATAAAGTTTGTTTCCCAAATGCTGAAATATTTTTTTGCAGCAAATCTCTGAAAGCCTTCCATTATCCCTTTTTGAAGTAAAAACCAGAACTAGAAATATTATTGCAGAAAAGTGGTTTCATCGGTGCCGCTTAAGTGTAACTTATTTTCCTGTTTGTGAATTCAAGAATTTTGACAGCTACTTCTATCACAACACAGGAACAACAGTTCATGTTTAGTTGTTTGTCTGCCATTCACATGCTCTGAAGTTCTCTTCAAACACTACTTTCTAGGTTTAAAGGTCCCTTCCAACCCAAACTATTCTATGATTTATGACAAGCTGTATTCTTTTAAATGCTAACTGTACTCTTTAGTCTTAAAAGGTTGTAACTTGGGTGTGCTGCTAGACTTCAGACTCCCTTAACAAAGATCAGTATCAAGTAAGCTCTCTTTCAAACTATCCTTGGAGGGCATGAAATGCCATTACTGTAGAGAAGCCTAGAATCAAAGTGTCTAGGATGCACTCAAAGTGCTAGCAATTCTGAGAAAGAAACACTTCAGATTTGCTTTGGTAGGCATCCTCACTTGGTTAAACTTGAGAGTGTACAGACTATGTAACAGAAAGAAGATAGGAACAGCTGCACTGTTAGGTGAACCAATAGTTCACCTAATCCAGGATCCTATCTCCAACACTTTCATGTCAACAGTAGATGATCAAGGTGGGAAGAATATAAGGAGGAGAAAAGAACATATTTACACAGTCCCAGAAAACTTCCTCAGCTTTCTGAAAAATTTCTGGTGGAAGACCTCCAGAGCCTTAGGGTTTCTGTGCTTGATAGCCCTCACAAAAATTCCTCTTCCACAGAAGACAAGTGTAGATAAACTTTTAGCAGTCACAGTGTTGCTAGCAAGGAGCTCCATAGTTCTCTGCATGGAGAACCATCTCTTCTTCCATGCCTTGATCCTGCCTCTCACTTTTTTCCTTTCCTCCATTTGATACATGAGGTTCTTGTAGAGGAAAAGACAGCAAATATCCATTCTCCATATCACTTACCATTTACAAATCTATGTTACATCTCTCCTCCATCTCTTTTTTCAGGCTGAAAGATCCTACTCTAAAAATACAGTCCATTCTTGTTTAAAAGTTCTCTCTCTGATCTGAGTCAGAAAGAGAAGAAGCTGTAGGACAAGATGAACTGACTGTAGAATGGACAAAGAAGGGATAAACTACAACCCTGCACAGACAAAAACCCAAGCCCCACAGTGCAAGGAAATAGGGACAGCTAGAGGCTATATTAAAAATAGTAACAAATGGAGATTTTCAAAATGGAGGAGGTAAGAAGCCTGTGACTTCCAGCAACAGAATGAAGACTCCCTCTCTACCTGCAAATCTGCAGTTACTGAACAGGTATAGCACTGATGGAACACATTAAGAGGAAAATCTTCTATTAACAGAGGCATCAGAGCCAGCTGAGTCTGAACCAACCACCTACATAAAGGAGAGACTGGTGATAATCACCAAGGACTCCCTCCCACAGGAGGTAACCACCTAGCAACCTTGCCTGATACCTCAAGACATTAGCTGCTTGCTGAGGGCCTGGATCCCCGATATTGCAAAGAGGCTAACAAGGCTCATCTGGTCCTCAGCCTATTACCTTTTGCTGCTTATCCACATGGGCACCAATAATACTACCAGAAGCAATTCTAAGCATACCA